ATCGGTAACTTCGTCTTCGGAAGGGGGGTCACACGACACTGCGTAGGCAGGAAAAGGTTGAAACTCCGCTGTGGAGGAGAGGGAGGGTGTAATGGGTTGTTCGTTAAAGTTGAGGAGGTACTCGAAGTGTTCACGCCAGCGATCGACCTTGACCGAGTTGTCAGCAATAAAACCTCCATTCACATCGCGAACAGAATCCCAGAGTGTCAAGGGCTTACCACTAACCTGGCGGATTATTTGGTACAGTTTTCGAGTGTCACGAACATTTGAGGCCTGCTCCATAGAAGTCGCCGTTTTAGACCAGTACTTCTGCCGGCGGAATGGGGCCTAAATTCAACGTTCGTTGATATCCAAGGGATTTTCTACGCTATTTTTGACGGCATTAGACATGCGCTTCATAAATAAACCTTATTATTGCAGTTGCGTTTAAATCATCAGCAATAAGAACCTCTTGGTGGCTAGCTGCTTCCTTAACCAGACTAAGTAGCAACGCGTCAGCTACACTCAGAATGTTTTGTGATCTGTGTACGGTCAGGAATTCTAGATTCTATGAATTTACCTTCTTTAGCTTTATCCAGATGAATTCATATTCAAGAGCTAGGGTGTGCCCCCGTTCGATATATTGCAACCCCATCACCTAGTCTGTTTTGATGGTCTTTGCGTAAAAGCTCGTATCCTTGTACGGAAATCTCAAAATCCGCGATTTCTGTTGTAATCCACGTTCCCGTTATGGTGACAACATCAGGTTTCCGGTTGGAAAGTAATGACTTGATTTCGCCGATTTTTGAAGGAAGACTTAGGGCAGTAGTATGCAGAAAACTCAATTTCGAATAAGCAACCACGTTATGCAAGCGTTTGGCTCTTGTGTGAGATTGCATGTAGGAATCTGCTGGTGCTGAAGGAGACGGACGTTGTCCGTCCCGACTAGACTGTTACTGTTGTGGGTTTTCTCCAGAGAAGTGACCTCTGGACATGTCAATCTCCACGTTCAGTATACTGAGATTGCTCTCGCCGGGTTTGCACTCCTGAGGAGTTCTACCTTGAGCAATATCCATTTCTCCCAATCCGTGGGTGAAAAATCCGGCTGGAAAAAAATCGTTGGGTGTGAGTATCTAGGTATCAGTTTCCTGCTCAAAAATAGTTGGGCCTCGATCTCACACTTCAAGAAAACCTTCAACGGTCTTGGTGGGCGTTGTTCATCTTTCGATTCTCTTATTCGGCCCATTCAGAGCGCCTTAAGCACTTCTACATTTAATTATCTTTTAAGAGGTATTTGAGATATTTTTTAAAATAATTTCTTGTCTTCTTGTATCCTTGACTTCGGGATGTTGGAAGTAGCTTCAGTCATGGCTTTGATGACTATGCAGTTTCTACTATCCACTCAAGGGCCTGGTTGTGTTGCCTCATGTGCTGGAATTGGGGGCAGACTCTCGGACTCACAGATTGTCACAGACGTTGCTCATCGTTGATCTCCACTTGGCTATTAAGGTCGTTAATGTGAGCAAAATGTCTACTGTGCATGTCGCCATGTGGTAGTCTATTGGTAATGTCTTCAGCTCCTGGGGTCATGTGCTTTTCGTTGACGTTCGACTCTTCGTCTAGTTCGATGTTTGCATTTGTTGCTGAAGGATTCTGTTTTTGGAGCTTAGAAACCTTCTTCGTTTTCTTTGCGTTGGCCTTTTCTCGTTTTTTTATGGATGGATGCCTAATTTGATTAATAGCTTCTTGTTATGGCACACAGTTCCCAAGTGTATGACTTTCTGAAGGTGGGTTGAACAGGCAGTACAGCCTTCATCCTCATATGTTACACGCTTTATAGCTGCTAAGCATCTTGTTCGCTT